GAAGATACCAAGCAATGGTTAGAGGCTAGCAATTACAAGTCTGGTTTTGCTCGCCCTGGCAACTATGCTTCCTCTAAAACATTTCAGTAAGTAATCACGGCATCGCCTAACGTATTTCAGGAAACATTAAAACTAAGTGGACACATTCCCGTTGTCCCTATCAAAATTAAGAACAGGCCACACTCTGCAAATAAGAGTCAAAGAAAGATGAATAAGTAACAGAGCCGAATTCTTGGTAGTTACTAGAAAACAAAAGCCTAGTTTCTCCACGAAGTCCGTTCTTCCTCTCTGACCTCGGTGCAACCTATTCAAAAGCCTTCCACCCTACCTGAAAAGAGGCCTCCAATGGCTAAACCATGAGCCCTCTTCTTGGGTTTCATTTTTCTTCAGTTCAAATGTCCCATGATCCAAGGCCAAGGGACCGATGGATCGAGGGGTACAAGTCTCCCCCGGCCGGGGGATCGCCTGGGCTGGACTGAGGCCACTTTCCCTCTAGGGTGTCCTCCTCCCCCTGCGGTGCACACAAACCTCAGGACCGAGCAGCGGCAGCACCGGGAGCTCCGGTGGGGTCCGGAGGGGTCCAGCGGCCAGCCGTGCCCGCGTCGCCACACCCACCACCAGCTGCCCGCGCCTCCGGCATCCGAAGCTCCCCGCGCACCCAGCCAGGCTAGGGCCCCAAGCACCCGGACGCACGCAGACTCACACCTGAGACCCGCCGAAGTACCGACTCCACTATACTCGGGCTGCCAGCAGCCCCCGCCGCCGCCTCACCCAGCGAAGTGGCCAGAGCTTCCGGACCTCACGTGACCCAGTGTACAAGGGCATGCCGGGAGCTGTAGTCCGTCAATGCCGCTTCACCTGCATGCAGAGGGCGGGGACGGTGGCCAAAAATGTTAGCTGGAAATAGGTAATGAGTGAGAGATATGATTTGAGAAGAATTGGAAGGCTAACCATTTTTTCAAAAAGAGGCTTTATTCTGCTTTAGATTTTTGTTTCATTAAATGCAATTCACGGCTCTACACCCCATCGCCACTCCACCAAAATAAATCATGCATATTAAGATTCCCAGCAAAGTCAGGCGGTGGCACACATTTAATCACAGCACTCGGGAGGCAGAGGCAGCCCTGTGAGTTCGAGGCCAGCCTGATCTACAAGAGCTAGTTCCAGGACAGGCTCCAAACCACAGAGAAACCAAAAAAAGATTCCCAGCAGCAGGACTGGAGAGATGATTAAATAAATAACTCAGTTCATTTTTTTAAAATGGGGCAGGAGAGATGGCTCACTGACTGCTCTTCCAGGAAACGGGTCAGCACCCACATGGTGACTCACAACCACTACAAGTCCAAAGGGCTCGACATCCTCTTCTGGTTTCCACGGCACAGACGACAGGCTTACATAGATACACTTACATAGATAAACACATACACAAAAATAGAAAGAGGCGGAGGAAGACGCCACTGCCACCACCAAATCGCCTTTTGCAGGGTGTCCAAGACCAGGTAATAAGAATGCTTCGTTATACTTTCAACACTCAGAGCAGGAATCCAAAAATCATGATAAACACAAAACACACATCTAAGCATGTTCAAGAAACACCACCATAGGGATGTTGTGTCAGGTGTTGGGTTCACATGGGTCTGTGGAAGAAACAGGGTCACTTTAGGATGATTTGTAGCCTTTGAGCTTCTGGTGAACGGCTTGACTATAGCTTTGCAAATGACATTTGTTAGACAATTTACACCTTAGCAAGTCAGTTTTCACACACCAAAACCTCATATCTGAAGCTCCCCAAAGAGACAAATGCCAACACCTCAGATTTTCTGAGTCCTCCCAGCAACCAAGTTTTTTTCTTTTTAAATATTTATTTATTTATTTATTATGTATGCAATATTCTGTCTGTATGCCTGCAGGCCAGAAGAGGGCACCAGACCTCATTATAGATGGTTGTGAGCCACCATGTGGTTGCTGGGAATTGAACTCAGGACCTTTGGAAGAGCAGCCAGTGCTCTTAACCTCTGAGCCATCTCTCCAGCCCCCCAGCAACCAAGTTTTGCATAGGCTTTGAACCCTTTAGGAAACACGCAGACAAGATTTACATACTTCAAACAGAAGGTAGTGGACACAAAAGGCAGATCCAGGCCCAGGTGCTAACCCTTGAATCAAACCAGCTGCAAAGCTCTGCGGGAGCCAGCTCCAGTGGTCACGTGATAAACGTTGCTTTCTGGGGCACTCCTGGACCTGGTTCAGTTCACAGTTACTCTATGGCATTGATGACGCTGGCCAAGTTTCTCTCGACTTGCACACCACCTTTTAGCCAAGGCTTACCAAAGGCCCGATGGCTTCTGGTTAGGAAAGCTGAAGTTGCAGCAACAGACCCAAGATCCTCCAGCAGAAGAGAGGCTCAAGCAAGGAGCTAAAGCAGAAAGCCTTAGGGCCAGCCAAACCCCAACACAGAGACATCAAAATGTTTTTACAGCTCAGGATGCACAGGAAAGGGACAAGAGGGGGTGGAGAGCGGTTGCTCTTCCAGAAGACCTGGGTTCAATCCCCAGCACCTACATAGTGCCTCATAACTGTCAGGTGAGCCAATGGGGGCTTTTTTTTTTTTAAAGATTTATTTATTTAGTATACAGTATTCTGTCTGTGTATGCCTGCAGGCCAGAAGAGGACCCCAGACCTCATTACAGATGGTTGTGACCCACCATGTGGTTGCTGGGAATTGAACTCAGGACCTTTGGAAAAGCAGGCAATGCTCTTAACCACTGAGCCATCTCTCTAGCCTCCTCATAACTGTTTATATGGGTATTTGATATCCTCGTCTGACCTCCTCCAGCACCAGGCATGCACATGGTACACAGACATGTGTGCGAACAAAACACCTTACACAGTAAAATAAAATAATTTGTTTATAAAGGGAGGGAGACTCAGGTAAGGAAGGGATATAACGGAAGTGCCTCGGTTTTAAACAGGTGTGAGCAAAAAGCAACACCTAGCAAGTGAATTTTCAAATTGTACGTATTCAGCTTTTCCATTTGTGGATTTGAAAATGAAGTAAAAGGGGAGATGAGATACTGGAGAGATGGTCCAGTGGTTAAGGGCAGATGCTGTTCGTCTAAAGCACCCAAGTTCAGTTCCCAGCACCCATATCAGGCAGCTCACCACCTGCCATAACTCTAGTTCCAAGAGATCCTTTGCCTTTATTTGGTCTTCTCAGGGACCCGAATATGTCACACACACACACACACACACACACACACACACACACACGGCTCCCTCATTCACATAAATAAAAATTAAAAATCAATTAATTGAAAACCTAAAAGTGATGTAGAAAGGCAACCAGCAGGCTATTTTAAGCCTTGATTTCCAGGTGCCCTCCCAGCATGCAGTGTGGGCTGGTCTGAGCCAACTGACTTCTTTTGGTTTTGACAATAATCATCATCAAGAGAAAGAACATTTGCAGCTCCCGCCAGTGACACTGACATTACAGGGTTTATTTCCTGCCCCAGCCCACACGTCTGTGCTGGATCTTGACCTAGTTTCCAGGTTATGCGAGTGACTGAGCCTCTCAAAACCACAGCCGGCAGCACGTTAGACAGCGTCTTGCTTGTACTCGCTCTAGATAGAGAGAGAAACTATAATCAAGCTTTGAGCTGCCTTGCTTAAAAGAGATATTTTCAAAAATCCTTGTGTGGGTGGAATTCGGGGTAAGATGAGTCACAACTTAAAGGTTATTTGAAGGCCTCGGAGACACAGTGTTCTTGAACAAGGGACAATTGTCTCTTATTTCAGGGCTGCAAGACATGAATGCTGGGAACTGAACTCAAGTCATCTGCAAGGGCAGCAAGCGGCTTATCCACAGACCCGTCTTCCCTGCGTGAAAACCCAGTTCCTAGGATAGGCTCTGAGAAACAATTAACAGAGTCCAGGACTGGTAGACTCGTTGGGTGGAAACAGAAAGAAATTCATCTCAGATCTTTGTTCCTACTGACAGCTTCAAGGACCAATCAATTCTAAGCTTTCTCACACTTTCTCCAGAGCTGTCCAGTGGTGGCACATGCCTTCAATCCCAGCACTCAGGAGGCAGAGGCAGGCGGATCTCTGTGAATTGGAGGCCAGCCTGGTCTACAGAGCAAATTCTAGGACAGCCAGGACTGTCTCACAGAGAAACCCTGTCCCGATAGATAGATAGATAGATAGATAGATAGATAGATAGATAGATAGATAGATAGATAGATAGATAGATAAAAACAAAATAGCCTCTGTTGTGTGGTAGAACTTCTAATTGACCCTGTCTCAAAAAAAAGAACTTCTAATTGGGACTCTCTCTCTCACACGTGCAGTAAAGCATCTTTATTTCATTTATTATTTTGTTTCTGTGCTGAGAACAGAACCCAGGGCCTTGCACTTACTAGGCAAGTATTCTACCATTAATTTAAATCCCCCACTGCTCTAAGTTCTTTTGATTCGTGAGCTTTTCATTTATTTGGTTTGGGGATTTTTGTTATATTATTTTGTTTTTTATTTTACATTCACTTATTTTGCCCGTGTGCGTGTGTTCACGGACGTACACGTGGTCAGAGAACAACTTGCCCTGGGGGGTAGAACTCAGGTCTTCAAGCCCCCTTACCGACTGAGACATGAGACATCTTATGGACCCTTGTTGCACGAACACCTGCTTTCTTCCAGTGACTTCTCGAGACCCAGATCAATATCCTCCTTTAACTCGATGTCATCTCGGTTATCAGCCTCCCTGCCCAGACAAACAAGCAAGTGTATCAGGCAGGATGGAGGATGAAGGATGCAGAGCAAAAGAGGAACAGGGAAGCTTAACAGGTGTCAGTTGAGGGGAAGGCAGTTTCTCTCTGGGTTTTCTCCTGGTCTGGTGAATTCTGGCAGGGAAGCTAGCTGTGTGTACTAGCCAGCACCTCAGCCAGAGAGCTTCGGGTTCCTTGCAGGTGGGAGGGATTGCCCTTGTTTCCCTTTCGCTTTCTCCAGCCACCAAACCTGACGCCAGGGGCCGGAACTACAGTTTCCACTGCGCGGCAAGGTAGGAGGAAGAAGGGCACTGAGGGCTGCAAAGGTAACGAGGAGAAAAAGCAAACACAACCTGCTCGCCAGCCAGCGAGGTGAGAGAGGGGACAGGTAAGCAACAGGTGGACGCAGGTGAAGGTTGCAGGGGTGTGGAATGGTGTCTGGGAGGAGCCGCAGGTTTCTCCTTGCAAGGCTTGTAGGGGGCTTTTGTGGAATCCCAGGGGCCCTTTGATGGGGAGGAAGAGAATCGGGACTTGGAAACAATGTTTCAGCTCAAGTTACTTGGTAAGATGCCGGAAGTAGAACGGTTTTCTTCAGTTGAAAAGACGCAGAAGAGTAAAAAAGTGGTTTGATTGTATCTCTTCTCTAGAGGATCGTTCCTCCCATGTGATCTCAGGGGCACCTAGAGGCCCTAGACCATTCCTTACCTCTATAAAACCTTTGGTTTCTACCAAAGCATAGACTAGATATTTGTGTGTTTTTATTTGTCTGACAAAATAGACACGAGCATTTGCCTGTATTTTTAATTGTCCGTCACTGTAGGCATGAGCTTTCCTAAGGCATCAGAGTAAACCAAAGAACAAATCAAGGAGAAATGAGGGTGTCTTATGATGAGAGCAGTTTACTGAACCTCAAATTCAATCATCAAAGTATTTTGGGTATTTTGGTCTCGTGACATATTTGGTAAGCAGACCTCACCAAATGTGTGATGATTTAAATGCCTAAGTACCTGTCCTTTTGGACAAATGCTTGCTGTTCCAAATATCTGCAGAGTTGTCGTGTGGACTAGGAACTCAGCATGTTACAGAGCAAGGGGAGCCGAAGACTGACAGATAGGAATCCCAGGGAGCTAGGTTTCAGCTCCTAGAATGAAGAGCTGCCCCGGTTCACACTCGTTTTCAGGAGAAATCGAGTTCCTTGAGATTGAAGATATTTAAGCCCGGATGACTGTTGAAACAGAGATGTTGAAAGTGGGAATGTAGTTCCAGGTAATTGATGCATTGGCCAATGGTCCTCAGATCTCATCAGATCTCAGCTGATGTCACCCGGGGAACAGGTTACATGCGTATATGTTGTTTTAATTTTTTTAATATTTATTTATTTATTATGTATACAATATTCTGTCTGTGTGTATGCCTGCAGGCCAGAAGAGGGCATTACAAACCCCATTACAGATGGTTGTGAGCCACCATGTGGTTGCTGGGAATTGAACTCAGGACCTTTGGAAGAGCAGGCAATGCTCTTAACCTCTGAGTCATCTCTCCAGCCCCCTGTTGTTTTAATTTTTGTGTGTGTTCATGTTTGTGCACATCATGTGACAGCCGGAGGTCAACCTCATGTATCATCCTCAGCACCATCCACTTTGGTTTTGGAAACAGGGCCCATCATTTGCCTGGAGTTCACTGAGTGGACTAGAGTGGCTGAGCAGTGAGCCCCAGGGATCCTTTGGATCCACCTCCCCAGAGACAGGCTCACAAGCACCTGTCACCGTGTCTCGCTTTCTTTCTTTCTTTTTTTTTTAATGTAAACGCATAAAATAAAAATAAATGTTTTCAAATGTTATTTGTTATTATCTTACGTGTATGGATGATCTGTTTGCATATATCATATATGTCTCTGTTCCGCATGCATGCAGTGCCCATAGAGGACAGAAGACAGCACTGGGTCCCCTGAAACTGGAGTCTCAGATGGTTGTGAGGTATCACGTGGGTGCTAGAAACCAAACTGGGTCCTCTGGAAGATCAGCCAATGCTCTTAACTACTGAGTCACCTCTCCAGCCCCATAAATTAAATATATATGTATATGTATCTATATAAAGAGATAGGTAGGTAGGTAGATAGATGGATAGATGATTGATAGATAGATAGATGTAGTAGATCTGACATAAATTCTAATAATATGTATTTTTAACTATCTCCTCCAGCTAATTCTGATAATCATTAAGTTTGGCAAATACCAACATTAGAAACCTTTAAGTTATTTTATTTTCCATACTAGAATTTCCCATAGAGTTCTCCCCCCACCCCACCCCCAAGTTTTACTATATAACCTTAGCTATCCTGGAACTTGCTATGTAGACCAGGCTGGCCTTGAACACATAGAGATCTACCTACCTCTGCTTCCTGAGCACTGGGATTAAAGTTGTGTGCCCCCACACACTGCCCTGCCATATCATTCTCACTAAAGTTTTAGTTTTGAATATCCTCCAAATTCTAATTTCCTGTTTGAGAAAAAATGGAGTGCTACCCAGAGTAAAAAGGCCACGTGGGTGCTGGCAAAATGGTTCCAAGGCTAAAAAGCACCAACATCTGCTTCGAGCTCCCAACTGCCTATCACTCCAGTTTCAGGGGACCCAATACCTCTGGCCTCTTCTGTGTGCTCACAGACCTGTGAGTCTTCCTTAAACTGGCTTCCCAGGCAAATCTTGTCAGTTGTCATGAGTTGATGGGCAGCCAGCTTCTAGTGGCTGCGGGCACAGCTTCCCCCGGACTGACAGCCAGGGAGCTCCTCCTGTAGGCATTCCCTCCACTGCCCTGCTCTTTGAGTACCTCATCTTCAGAACTGGGGTTTCCTCAGCTCTCTAACTTGGTAAAGCTGACTACACTCTTTTCCCATCGAAGAATGGTCTCATCAGTGTGAGGGCCTTCCAGAAGCTGTGACCACTTATACCCGGGGTGTGGGCTTGTGGGGCAACTCCCGACACCTGAACAGTCGTCGGCATCCTTTGCCCATGGCAGTGTTTGTCCTGTGAAAGCCACAGCTACCCCAGCTTGTCTTCTACTGGATCCCGGTGCAGGAACTGAACGCTGTCTTTCCTCCCTGAGTCTGTTCTAGGAAGCCAGAGCCATGCAGTTCTCCAGCTCAGCCAGAGCAGCAGATGAGAATGTGGACTATTTGTTCAAGGTCATCCTCATTGGCGATTCCAACGTGGGGAAGACATGTGTGGTGCAGCATTTTAAATCTGGAGTCTACACCGAGTCACAGCAGAACACCATTGGGGTGGACTTCACCGTGCGTTCCCTCGAGATAGACGGCAAGAAAGTGAAGGTCAGAGGGACACCGGGGTAGCTCCATTGTTTCAGCCAGAACCCCCATTTTAAGTAAGGTGTGAACACTTAACATAAGGTTTAAGAAGCCATGAAAGAGGATATTGCTAAATCTACCTAAAGGTCATAATTTCTACAAACCAAAAGTACGATAGGCAGTCAAAAGAGGAAAGACAAATTGGAAATATTTGCAATATGAGAAAAGACTAGCTTCTTTGGTGTAGCAAGAATTTTGATAAATGTCTAAGAAAAGCACCAGCAACTGTGTGATGGTACACACCTATAATCCCAGCATAAGGCAAAGGCAAGATGACTGAGGTCACCTGGGCCACATTTTAAGTACCAAGGCAGGCTGAGCTACATAGATAGTAAGGACCCTCAATAATAAACAGAGTTGGGGACTGGAGAGATGGCTCAGAGCTTAAGAGCACTGGCTTCCAGAGGTCTTCCAGAGGTCCTGAATTCAATTCCCAGCAACCACATGGTGGCTCACAACCATCTCTAATGAGATCTGGTGCCCTCTTCTGGTGTGCAGGCAGAACACTGTATACATAGTAAGTAAAGAAATCTTTAATAAAATAAAATAAAAGGAACTAAATTAGGTAGTGCATGCTTTTAATCCTCGTACATGGGAGGCAGAAGTAAATGGATCTCTGTGAGTTCAAGGCCAGCCAGAGCTATATGGTGAGACCCTGCCTCAAAAATAAACAGACAAAAGACCAATGAACAAATATAAAAAGTGGCCACAGACCAGACAAAACTTGCTTCATAAATTTTGTAAGAATACAGCCAGAGCCAGCATGAAAGCTGACCCCCAAGTCTGATCTCCTTCCCTGGGCCCTACTTGTAGGAGAGACTCTGCTCTGACCTACACACGTGTAGAGGGCAACAGGTCCTCGTGCACACAGATAAGCTCTGTAGAGCAGGAACAGTTCAGCTCGCAGGCTTATCTCTTGAGGGAAAGAGACGTTTACCGTTTGCAAATTGGTGAGACTTTGCTCTCTGTAGAGCCAGTTTCACCCATATCCCCCAGAATTCATATTTTGTTTATCCCAGAACTTCCCCCTAAGTCTAGAGCATCACTTCTAAGTTAATTAAAGCCATCTTTTATGAGTGACATCACTTGTACTTTATACAACAGCCTAAGCGACTTAAAAGATGGGGCTCCTCTTTGTAGTTAGTCCTTTGCTGTCCTAGAACTCACTCTGTAGACCAGGCTGACCTCAGACCAGGAGATTTGCCTGCCTCTGTTCCCCAAGTGCTGGAATGAAAGGTGTGTGCCACCACCGCTCCCTGGCAAATTCTCTGATGTCTTAGGCCAGGCCACTCCTAGCTCCCACAGGCATTATGTTTGTCTCAGTCATTCTCCCTAGACCCTAAATCGTGAACACTGTTCAACAGAGCCCATCTTTATGGAAGAAGCCATTTGTACTTTGTAAAGTCTCATGTAATCATGTCTTAAGCTTTGTTATACACGAAGGACTCAGTTAATTGGCATCAGAAAACATTTTTCCAGGGCTGGAGAGATGGCTCAGTGGTTAAGAGTGCCTGCTCTTAACCTGCTCTTCCAAAGGTCCTGAGTTCAATTCCCAGCAACCACATGGTGGCTCACAACCATCTGTAATGAGATCTGGTGCCCTCTTCTGGCCTGCAGGTATACACACAGACAGAATATTGTATATATAATAAATAAACATTAAAAAAAAGAAAACATTTTTCCAAAATTGCGCTGTGCTTAAACATGGCTAAAATAAACAACCTAGTGTCAGACTCTAGAAATTTGTCCCTGCACTGGCTGACTAAGTCAGACTGAACCAAGTTTCATTCGTACCTCACCTGGGTCATTTCCCTGCTGACCGTGATGCTTGCAGGCACCCACACACGCAGGCGCATGCACACACACACACACACACACACACACACAATGATTTTAAAAACATAGACACTGGGCTGGAGAAATGACTCAGAGGTTAAGAGCATTGCCTGCTCTTCCAAAGGTCCTGAGTTCAAGTCACAGCAACCACATAGTGGCTCACAACCATCTGTAATGGGGTCTGGTGCCCTCTGCTGGCCTGCAGGCATACACACAAGACAGAATATTGTATACGTGATAAATAAATATTTTTTAAAAATCATAGACACTTTTTTTTTTTTCGAGACAGGGTTTCTCTGTGGCTTTGGAGCCTGTCCTGGAACTAGCTCTGTAGACCAGGCTGGTCTCGAACTCACAGAGATCCACCTGCCTCTGCCTCCCGAGTGCTGGGATTAAAGGCGCGCGCCACCGTCGCCCGGCTAAACATAGACACTATTGAAAGGTGTATAAGTTGGCGCTGATGTGGTCCATGCTTGGGATGATATTCTGGAGTACTGTGATAAGGATGCTACTGGATGGGAAAAGTCTGAGTGGTCCTTCAAAACCAGTGCAGTTCAGCCTATCCTATCCCCTTTGCCAGGATTCCTCCCAATGTGTGGACTCAAAATAGGAACCCAAAAATCTAGGCCAAGGGATGTCTGAGGTCAAAAGTCAAAGAAAAGACCCAGGAATAAGTAATCCTCCCATCAGTGGGAGAGCCCCTCAGAGTGACCCCGAAACCAGACAGCACATTTTGACCCCTCCTGGCCCTACTGAATCTGAATACATTGAAGTAAGACGTGGGAATTTATTCGTTCTTTTAAAATGTATATTATTCATTTGCTGTGTGTGCCTGTGTGGGCATGCCTGCCACTGTGTGTATGTGAAAGTGGAGGAGAACCTGCCAGAGTTGGCCCTTTCCCTCCACCACGTGGGTCCCAGAGACTGGACTCAGGTCGTCAGGCTTGGCGGCAGCACCTTTACCCACTGAGCCATCTTGCCAGCCCACAGGAAACTATTTGTAAGGTGACTTAAATGAAGGACTGACCATGTTGCTATCCCTCCTGTTATCTCTTCCGTCCTGCAGATGCAGGTGTGGGACACAGCAGGCCAGGAGCGCTTCCGCACCATCACCCAAAGCTACTACCGGAGTGCCCACGCTGCCATCATTGCCTACGACCTCACACGGCGATCCACGTTCGAGTCTGTCCCTCACTGGATTCGCGAGATAGAAAAATACGGTGCCGCTAACTTGGTCATCATGCTGATCGGTAGGGCGTTTCCCGGGCGGTCAGCTTTGCTTGCCCCTCCTCTACCCACGCTCAGCTTGCTTTCCTCAGTAGTGCAGGATAAATCCTAAAACTCAGAGAGCGAGGCCACCACAGCCAGCAAAATCATGATCCCCAGGAGGCAAAAAGGCTGGTGAGGGTTCAAACTTCAGGAGTCTGACCCCAGGTAGTTTATTTTAGGCATATTTAAGCACAGTACCATTTGGTGAAAACTTTCCTGGAGATAATTAACTCAATACCATGTGCACATTAAGCACAAAGTGAGATAAACATCGGACTGATTACAGGCCGGGCGGTGGTGGCGCATGCCTTTAACCCTCGCACTTGGGAGGCAGAGGCAGGTGGATCTCTGTGAGTTGGAGGCCAACCTGGTCTAAAGCTTGTTCCAGGACAGGCCCCAAAGCTACAGAGAAACCCTGTCTCAAAAAACAAAAACAAAACAAACAAACAAACAAACAAAAAAGGTACAGCTTGCACACACCCACCCCAGGGCTTCTCAGCATGGGAATGAGCAGAGTGAACTCTATGAAACACTTGTCAGCGATCTGGAGGCACCTAGGTTGTGTCAATCACACAGAAAATACAAAGAGCTTGAGGTTTAATAGACCCCCAAATCTACCAGGCAGTGGGGGCGCACGCCTTTAATCCAACACTCAGGAGGCAGAGGCAGGCAGTCTCTGAATGCAAGGTCTGCCTGGTGTTCCAGAACAGCAAGGGTTACACAGGGAAACCCTGTGTAGAAATAAACAAACAAAAAAAGCCCCAAATCCCCTCAAATGAATGTCAACTGGCCAATTCCTAAGTGAAACTTTTTAAAAAACACATTAAGGTTCACTGGAATTACATGTCATCCCAGGTCTCTGGATGACGATGGGTTAAACTGAGAGTGCCGGGCCTGGAGAGAAGGCTCAGCCAGTGAAGTCCTGCTGTCAGATCCTGAGGACGCGACTTCAGATCCTTAGCTCCCAGGTCAAAGTCAGGGGCTATCACCCACATCTGTGGTCCCAGTGCTGGGAAACAGAAACAGGGAGAGCCATGAAATTGGCCAGACCGGCTATCTGAGTCAGTGAGTTCAAAGTCCACAGAGACCTTGTCTCAGAAAAAAGAAAAAAGGGAACGCGTTTGAGGAGGCAACTTCTTCTTGTGGTAGGTTACACTGATGTCTGCCTTATAAGGGTCTTAGATTTTTTTTTTTTTTTTCCAAGACAGGGTTTCTCTGTAGCTTTGGAGCCTGTCCTGGAACTAGCTCTTTTACTCCAGGCTGGCCTCGAACTCACAGAGATCCACCTGCCTCTGCCTCCCGAGTGCTGGGATTAAAGGCAAAGGTGTGCACCACCACCGCCCAGCTGGAATTTTTCTTCTTTTTAAGATGTCAATCAAAGGAAAGGGCTGGGCATGAATGCTAGGGACAAAAATTTAGGAGTTCAGAATTTGCCAGATTCTGGTACATTTGGTGCTCTATAAGAGCCTCAGCAGGGCCTGGGCCACCATCTCTGGACTATGACTATGACGCCAGGTTCAGGCTGGTCTGGGCTACATGAGGACCTGTAACAAAGAACGCAGAGGGGGTAGGCAAGATGGCTAAGTGAAAAAGGCACTTTCCACCAAGCCTTAAGACCCAAGTTCAATTTCCCAAGAGAAACAACTCTTGAAAGTTGTCTTCTGACCTCCATATACATACTGGGGCATGTGAGTGTCCCACACTCCCAACACAAGACAGAAATGTACTTTTTTTGTTTTGGTTTGTTTTGGTTTTCGAGACAGAGTTTCTCTGTGTAACTTTGGCTGCCTTGGAACTCACTCTGTAGACCAGGCTGGACTTGAATTCACAGAGGTCTGTCTGCCTCCCTAAGTACTGGGATTAAAGGCATGTGCCACCACTGCCCAGCATATAAATGTAATTTTTTTTAATTTAAAAAAATAGGGCTGGATGGGGCTGGAGAGATGGCTCAGTGGTTAAGAGCACTGGCTGCTCTTGCCGAGGTCCTGAGTTCAATTCCCAGCAACCACATGGTGGCTCACAACCATCTGGTGCCCTCTTCTGGCCTGAAGACATACAAGCAGGAAGAACCCTGTATCCATAATAAATAAGTCTTTAAAAAAAAAATACAAAGACAGACCAAGTGGTGGTGGTGCACACCTTTAATGCCAGCCTCGGGGAGGCAGAGGCAGGCGGATCTCTGTGAGTTTGAGGTCAGCCTGGTCTACAGTGTGAGTTCTGGAACACCC